TTAGCCATTGGGGTCCGTGCCACCAGAGGTCATTGTTAACCATCTCCGGAGGTGTGCATCCGCGACTGCCCAGATCTGCCGGATTGTCTTGGCTTTCGATGTGACGCCAATTTTCGGTTCCAACTTTTTCTGCAATTGTGGCAACTCGGTGGGATACAAAGGTTGTCCATGAGCATGGGGGTTTGCTTAGCCAAGAAAGGACAATTGTAGAATCCGTCCAAAGGTGAGTGCGGTACTGAGTAATATTTAATTGGGGTAGGGTCGCATCCACTAGATTCGCCAGAAGAACCGCTCCGCAAAGTTCTAGCCTTGGTAGAGATATACTTTTTATTGGGGACACACGAGTCTAGGATATTAAAAGAGTTGTCCAGGTGTTTGTGTTTGTAGAAACACTTATGTATAGGTTTGCTGCGTAAGCTTTTTCTGAGGCGTCAGAGAATCCGTGGAAATTGATGATCGCGGATGTCGAAAAGTGGGTCCACCGAGGAATTTCAATCAGATTTAGGGTTTCGTAATCTTTTATGAAGGTTTTTCAGCGATGGAGAGTTAAGGGTTTTAAACTTTCATCCCAATCGGATTTATCGAGCCATATTTGTTGCATTATTATTTTGGCTGTGACTACAACGGGACTGAGCCAACCAGCTGGGTCGAACAATTTTGCTATAATCGATAATTCTTCTCTTTTAGTAAACGATGTCTTATCGTGAATAGGGTTGATGACAAAAAAGAATGCATCTTTTTTTGCATTCCATCTGATCCCCAGTGTTTTTGTGCTATTGGATTCTGGTAAACTGAGTAAGTTCGTGTCCAACAGATGTTCTTGTGAGATTCCAGATAAGACCTTTGGGTCATTCGAGGTCCATTTGCGTAGAGCAAATCCTGCGGACTCCAAAGATGAGGTAAGTTCGTCTCGTGCCATCTTCGCATTTGCTACGTCATGTGCTCCTGCAAGTACATCATCGACGTACATTCCGTTTCGAAGTATCTTTGCTGCCAGTGGGTGGGTTTCTTGTACATCATCCGCTAATTTGAGGAGGGTACGGATAGCTAAATATGGGGCACAGTTAATACCAAACGTAACAGTTTGTAGTTCAAAATCTTCTATGGGGTCGTTAGGCGATCTTCTAAATAAGATTCTTTGAAATGGAGTGTGTTTGCTTTCAACAAGTATTTGACGATACATTTTTTGAATATCTGCATTGAATACGATTCGAAACATACGCCACTTTACCACTAGGATTACCAGGTCTGCTTGCAGAATAGGTCCAGTGTGTAATACATCGTTGAGGCTATTTCTATTTGAGGTGGGGCATGATGCGGTGAATACCACTCGCAGTTGGGTCGTTAAGCGATCGGGTTTGATGACTGCGTGATGTGGTAGATAGTATGTTTTCGTATTCTCTGCGGGGTCATACTCTATTTTGGTCATATGACCGAGTTCCAGGTACTCGTTGATGGCCTTGTCGTATTCTGTTTTTATTTCAGGTTTTCTAGAGACGGATTTTTCATTTCTTAGATACTGAGCTAAAGCTATATGTCTTGAGTTGCCCAAGTCTATTTTTTCTGGGGTTTTAAAGGGTAATGTTACCACGTAACGCCCAGTTGAGTGTCTTCGGGTTGTTTTTTGATAATGTTGCTCACACAGTATATCCGAAGTTGAGGGTAGAGGCTTTTTCGGAACTTCTTCGACTTCCCAAAATTGTGTGAGCAACTTGTCTGGGGTCGTCTTATTGAAAAATGACAATATTGAGGGTGAGATGGGTTTTTCAGGTGTGGGCTCGGAAGAATCCAACCGAATTCTGTTTCTTGGGCTAGTAATGACCCGAGTACATTTCTCTGTACGCCACTGAGAGTTATTTGTGGGTACAGATCACTTCCGATAAGGATGTCGACAGGTCTGGGTTTATAGAAGTGAGGGTCAGCTAAACTAAAACCGAATTCTTTATTAGAAATTATTCTATCAAGTGAGTGAGTAAATTCCCTTTTTGTTGGTGAACGAAGGGTGAGTTCGCAAGTTTTGGTAGCTGTTGCGGAGACTGTGTTGTTCAATTCGGTCACTTGTGCGTTTTTCTTGAATGTGGGTATGTCCAATTTTCTGTGGAGCTTCTCGGAAATGAACGTAGCTTCTGACCCAGAGTCGATTAGTGCTC